ACGATGAAGGCGTCATGGAAGAACACAGCGGGCTGGTGGGGGGATGGCACGTGGGCCGTCGAGTATGACCCGACCAACACGCCCGTCCTCTTTGAGGATGACTGCTGCTTCAACGCCGACGCGACCATCGAGCTGCGGTCGGGCAAGATGATCCGCATGGACGAGCTCGCTGTCGGTGATGTCGTGCGGTCCGACGCGGCAGGCGGCTCTCGACGGTCTACACCATCGCGCATCACAAGGGCGATACCGCCCGCGCCGTCGGCTACCGCGCATCCTCCTCGAGAGCGGCCACGCCCTCGAGCGCACGGCCGTGTTTGTCGGCAAGCAGGCGCGCATGGCCGCCAACGTGCGCCTCGGCGACGAGCTCAACGTTGTCAACTGCGCCGTCACGCAGCGTGTGACGCAGACCACGACCGTGTGCAAGACCGGCGGCTTGCGTGCCCCATGTGCAACGGCGAGACATGCATCGAGGTCTGCGGCGTGGGCGCCGAAGGCACGCACCCGTACGTCGTTGGCCTGCACAGCGCATCGGTGAGATGGTTGAGGTGGGCAAAGAAGGGGTGCATTGTGGTGAGATGACTTGTGCTGCAACCTGCATCCAGGGTGCTGTTTTTTTTGAAAACATGGTGTCGATAACACGAGGTGAGAGGCCCCGTTGCGCATAGAGCGCCATAAGGGTTTCCAGGATCCAGCGTGGTTACATAGAGGCCCTCTGCCCCTGCCGCTCGCTGCCCTGGCCCCTGCCCCGACCAGGCTTTGTTTGGTGGCTTCGCTCCCTCGGCTGCGCTGCCTCGCCGCCCGCGCCCCCAGCAAACGGATCACACGCACGCAAAGACACCGCGGTCTTAGGCGGTCGGATCTGCGAATCTGCGTACGACAGGACTAGAAAGCACCGCGGCCTCCTCCCGGGCGGCGTATAGGCCCTGTCAAAGCCACAGACCGGGGGTCCCCACGCCACAACCTCGGCCGGCGTGTCGAGCCGGGTTGCGCACGCCCTCGCTCAGTTGTCCCTCTGCCCCTCCACGTAGGCGCAGCAGAGGCCGCAGCAGAGCCGCGGGAAGAACGTGCAGGTCTGCCAGCAGTCGGCGGGGCCGAAGGAGCTGCAGCAGCTCTTGAGGCAGCCTAGAAGCGGTGAGCCGCGGCACGAGATCATCCGAGACTGCCCGAGAGAGAGAAAGCACGCGCCACCCGGCGCTGCGGGTCTGGAGGGTGCCTCCAAGCAGGTTGCCTAACGGACAAAAAAGAAATCGTGCGGCCCAAAAAGAAATCGTTTGCTAGGGGCGCCTCCGCAGGTTGCCTATAGAGGTTGAACGGTGGTGGAGGCGAGGGAGGCGTTAGCGT